AAAGTAGAAGACCATTGTCCATTGTCCAAAAAAGTAGAAGACCATTGTCCATTGTCCAAAAAAGTAGAAGACCATTGTCCAAAAAAGTAGAAGACCATTAGAGAGACTTTCATTGAATTTAAAGTTTTCCAATAATAAGACACCTTTTAGAGTTTTTTCTGCAGTCTATATTTTGGCTCGAGCCTTGCGTGACATGTATTCCGCTTTAAAAATAAACAACAAAAAAGCTAGTCCAAAAAAGTAGAAGACCATTGTCCAAAAAAGTAGAAGATCATTGTCCATTGTCCGAAGACCACTAGTAATAAGAAAACTGAAGTATGACAAAAAGAAGGTAGCACAACGCCCGTAGGAATACTATCCAGGTTCCTCCACAAACTTTTCCCCACAGCCAGGCACTCAGCACATTCACTTGTTTTCTTCAATGGCCAGTCTAGGGATGTTGTTTTTATGTTTTTTTATTTTTTTGGAGAACTTGGATAGGGTTGAGGGGAATTAGGTGGAATTCTCCAAAGACAAGAACTATGTACACTCGAGGGCTCAGATATTCTTCAGGCCAAGCTGTAATAGTTAGGGACTTTAGATTGTACACTGCTGGAGGGTTAGGAACTGATGTGAATGTTTAATTATTACACGGTGAAAACATTTACTGCACCAGATTCTTGGTCATTGAGCGCACCATTTTTTAATTTCTTTAACTGCAGCTTGAGGTTTATAAATGTGAACCCACATGGAAGAAAAATATATTTGAAATATATTTTTAAAATATTCTTCCCAAATATATTGACATATATTTGAAATACTACAATGTTGATTGTAATCAATATATTTCAAAATATATCTCAATAAATATATATATATATACATACACATACACACACATACACATATATACACACACCTGTATGTTGAAATGCGTTTTTATTACAAAATATATGAAAAATGTGTTTTTAAAAATAATTTTTCAAATATACTGCATGTCTTTAAAAATCCATTTAATCGACAATTTTAGAATGCCTTTACAAATATATGTAAAAATATATGTTAAAATGACTTTTTTATATGTTAAAAAAAATATAAATATAAAAAAATAAAGAATATATTTTAAAAATTATATATATATATATATATATATATATATATATATATATATATATATATTTATTTTTTTAAAAAATATTTTTCATATAATTTGTAATATATAAAAATGTATTTCAACATGCAGTATATGGCATCCTCTACATGACGTACGACTAGACAATCAATCTGAAAGCAAACAAAAATTATGAAATGTCCTACTGACGGTCCATGTTACCTATAATCGTTTGTCGTCTCTAAGCTCTCCCGGTATATAAAGGAAGTGCGGTACCGGGATCCGGGTGACAACGTCGTGGGATTTAATGATAAAGGAGAACTGCCCAGCCCAATGGAAATCGTCAATCTGGTAATACTAGAAGGAAGAGGTAACAATGTCATCCATTGGAGGCCCGTGGGCCACTTTGATGAGTCCCTTTCAGAGTATCAGCAACTTATACTGGAACCAGAGCGAATATCATGGAAGCGTGGCAAGGTGAGTGACACCAGAGAAGCGGATTCAAAACGTATACAAAAAAGGACTCATTTTCTTGTTCATATATTTAATGAAGGTGGTATGGTGCAAGAGAACTGCGTACAATAAATGGAACGATCGTATTGTGAGATATTGTGTCTGACATAGAAAGAGCCCTGACCATGGGCATTCACTATATCCGCTCTCCCCGGGACCCCGCATTCACTATATCTGATCTCTCCCGGGACCCCGCATTCACTATATCTGTTTCCCAGGACCCCGCATTCACTATATCCGCTCTCCCCCGGACCCCGCATTCATTATATCCGATCTCCCCGGACCCCGCATTCACTATATAGTTTTCCCCGGACCCCGCATTCACTATATCCGCTCTCCCCAGACCCCGCATTCACTATATCCGCTCTCCCCGGACCCTGCATTCACTATATCCGCTCTCCCCGGACCCCGCATTCACTATATCCGCTCTCCCCGGACCCCGCATTCATTATATCCGCTCTCCCCGGACCCCGCCATTCACTGTATCCGCTCTCCCCGGACCCGGTGTTCACTATATCTGGTCTCCCACAGTATACACAGAACATGGAAATGCATTCATTTTAGTAAATATAAACTGATAAATATCCTTTCTTATCAGCAGTATATAGCAGTCTTGTGACTTCTATCACCGTACAGCTCAGAGCACTGGTTTAAAGCTTGTAGGAGGAGTTTTCTCTAGGAGGATGTAGAACTCCTGACTTCTGTCTGGACAGTGCTGATTGGCCCTGTGCTGATCACATGCACCCTCCCAAGAAAAAAAAAAAACCTTCTCTAGAAATACACAAAAAACTGAGCATTTGTAGAGAGTGACTCCTCACGATAGCTCTTATCAGGAGATAAGAGGGGACACTGGAAGAAGGGGAGGAATAGAGAGACAGGATAAAACAGCCTTTTTTACACAATGCAGAGGATTAACCCCTTAGGTCCCACAGTGAGTATAACAAGCGTGCTTTCCTGCCTCTGCAGACTGATTGCACTGTTGGGGTTTAGTAACACTTTAAGAAGACAAGGTTATAAACCAAGTGATAATGACCCAACAGGTGAAAGTGGAAAGGTCTTTCTATAATCATGTGGGATATGAAGGCATTCTAGGGGATGATGGAGTAACCCTCAAGAGAACCCTATAGGAAGGAAAGCTGGAGGAAAAGGTTTCAAGAGATCCCAGGCCTTCCGGGTGGTGTCTCATATATACTATGCCAGGATGCTGTGGAGTATAGAAGGAGGAGGAGGGTGGCGGCGGTGTGAGGCATCCCCTCCAAACGTGCTAAGCAGTTGCACCCAGGGAGATTGTCCTTGGAGAGGAGAGAGAGGCGAACTGCTCAAAGGGTCACGGTCCACTCGGCCTGGGGAGGAGCCTCCAGAAACATCTAGAGAGTATAAAAAGGGAGAGAAGAGAAGAGAAGTGAAAGAAGAGAAGGAGAAGAGAAGGAGAAGAGAAGAGAAGGAGAAGGAGAGGAGAAGAGAATGAGAAAGAAAAGAGAAGAGAAAAGAGAAGAGAAAAATCCGTAGCTGGTGGGGGAGAGAAAGGAGAGGAGAGAGATCCCCCTAGGCGGGCTGGAGAGGGAAGAGAGGATTTCTTCAGGGGTACTAGGTTTTCGGTAAACTTCACTAAGCGAGTGAGTTGTGCGCCCGTATTTCTGATTAAGGGAGTACAGTGAACGGTCAAAGCCAGATGGTAAATATTTATGTACCCCAGGGGCTCCAACATTTTTCATATTTGGCCAGTCCGTCCAGCAGCAAGACCCCTGTCTTAGTGTGGATCATGGATGTGTTATTCTATGCTTTAGCTGGCATGGCACAGAGGTGGGAGATTTCCATGCTTTCACGATCGGTGATTTGGAGAGAGAACTTGACTTGATGGGGGTCATAGTCACAGCTTTGTTTTTTAAGAATGGCCATGGTGGGCTCTGGGGGTATTGGAAGAGCCGTGAAAGGATTCCAAATATTTCTAACCAGAAGACTTGAACTGTAGGGACATAAAAAGACTAGTTTTGAGCTTTAAAAGCCCATCTTGGGGTACAACCTAACCCCTTTCTTACCACACAGGGCAGTGACATGGACATTCAAAAAAGGACCCCACCAAGAAGAGAGAAAGAGAAAAGTCTCTAATATAATCTTTGCTAGATTCTTTTGAGGCTTACTGAAATCGATTGTCTTTTTAAAACAAAAAGAAACTGAGTTTTTTTGAGTAACTAACTCCCGTTCCACAGTTTATCTAGCTCCAAAAACAAACAATTTTTGGTGGGACAAATGTCTGTTTTGTTTGTTCGACCAGTAATAAAATAAAAATACAAACACATAGACATATACTTAAACCCCCATTGGCCCAAGGAACCAAGCCTATCGATACAGAAAACGATCATAGCTAATAATTCCTACAAACCTCCCTCCCCCCTCCCCTGCACAACCATCTGCCCATTCATCAGAGAGAAACATGGTCAGTCCATTGTGGAGCAAAAAAGAATCATAATCATAAGGACTAGGGCCTTTAAAGGCCACATGGTACTGTCAACGTACCTGGTATGAGAGGCCAAAGGAGAGATGGCTTCCGGCCTTGCGGCTAAGTTCCAGACTCCCGGAAGAGTGGGACAGTAGGAGTCAAGGCCCAAAATGGCACCGGTCCCACCTGTAGAGGTGCTTGTTGGTGGTCCACCCAGGAGACACAGCTGAATGCACTGAGATGAGGTCTTCAGACAGGGTGGCTCCTGGTTGAGGTATCAAGCGCCTTCTCGGGGCACAGAGGGATTACTGAATAGACGGATTAAAAGCCGAGGTCAGTACCAGGTGGGGAGCAGAGGCAGAAGTAGTGAGTGGGGATAGCCCGAGGTGCCATACACAGAGGAGCGAGAAGGAGAATATACCATTAGCCAATCCGAGGTTCATACTCACAGAGGAGCGAGAGATGAAGATCCGTTTTAGCCAAAGCCGAGGTTCATACCCCAGAGGAGCGATTGAGAGAAGATCCGTTTTATCCATAGCCGAGGTCATAACACACAGAGTGAGAGAGAATATCCCATTAGCCAAGCCTGAGGTCGATAAACAGAGAGAGCGATGAGAGAGCCAAGCCGAGGTCATACAAAGTGAAGTGTGATCTGTTAGCCAAGCCGAGGTCATACACAAGAATGCGAATGTGAGAGAGAATATCCCATTAGCCAAGCCGAGGTCATACACAGAGAGAGCGAAGCCGTAGATACATGAGAAGCTGAGAAGATCCTATTAGCCAGCCGAGGTCATACACAGAGGAGCGAGAGAGAAGATCTGTTGGCCAAGCGAGAGGTCATGCACAGAGGAGCGAGAAGAGCGCAACATCCATTAGCCAAGCCTAAGGTCATACACAGCGGAGCGAGAGAGAAGATCGTTTAGCCAAGCCAAGGTCTCTGGTCATCCCCTTGTACTGTGTCCGCAGTCTCTGGTCATCTCCTGTACTGTATCCGTAGTCTACTGGTCATCTCCTGTACGTGTCCGCAGTCTCTGGTCATCTCCTGTACTGTGTCCCCGCATCTCTGGTCATCTTCTGTGCTGTGTCCGCAGTCTCTGGTCATACTCCTGTATTGTGTCCGCAGTCTTCTGGTCATCTCCTGTAACTATGTCCGCAGTCTCTGGTCATCTCCTGTACTATGTCCCAGTCTCTGGTCAAGCTTCCTGTAACTGTGTCCAGCAGTCTCTGGTCATCTCCTGTACTGTGTCCGCAGTCTCTGGTCATCTCCTGTACTATGTCTGCAGTCTCTGGTCATCTCCTGTACTGTGTCCGCAGTCTCTGGTCATCCCCTGTACTGTGTCCGCAGTCTCTGGTCATCCCCTGTTCTGTGTCTGCAGTCCCATGGTTCAGAATATTTATTTTCTTGTGTTCCTCCTCTATAATCTAGGTGCGACTTATGGAGTGAAGAATACAGTAAATTCACAAAACAAATGCTTAACATAACATTTCGGACACCAGAAGATCGGACTATCATATCGGCAGGTTTGCTCCTGAACAGTTCATATCATCTTATATTATCTTAGGTTCCCCTGAAAGGTCGATGCTGCGAGGGAATGTCTTCCGGGGTTCAGGAGATCTGTAAGAGAAGGATATCACCCGTGTTGTTTTATAATTGCGCTCCGTGCCCACAAGGAGAAATATCACATCAGTCTGGTAAGCTTCATGTTTCTTTATATAAAAAGTCTGAAACTGAAGTAGAAAATGAAAACTTGTGAAGTCATTTGTCAGGGAAGTGTCTGCACTTTTCTTCTTCCATCCACACCCCCAGAGTGTTGGAGGTTGTCTCAAGCAGACAGGAAGAGGCGTATTCCTCCTACTTTCTTCTTGAGATCTTCTACAACATTTTTGTACTTCTCAAACAGATACTGTCTAAAAAACACTTTCAATGGTATACAGAACAGACCAAAAGGAATCAAAGAAGAGAAAATTCATTTGTAGCCCAAAACAAAGAGAATAGTATGGGCCCCTCCAAACTGTGTCAGTTGGATCAGCATGTGGAAATTCTGGTGCAAGACAGGCTGTCAGGCTCCAGTAGACTTCACAAAATGGTGGCCATCCTACGATTAAACCCAAAAAAGGGCAAAACGTGTCTGAGGAGTTCCCAACAGGTGGAGACAGGGAGCTGAGGCCATCTTTTATCCATATCATTGCAACAGGGAGTTGGGGTCTGTGTGCAGATGGCCACATTTTGTTGAAGAGAATTTCATTGTTACATACAAATATATTGCCAAAAATATTAGGACACCCCTCCAAATCATTGGATTCAGGTATTACAATCCCCTCCAAATCATTGGATTCAGGTATTACAATCCCCTCCATATCATGTGATTCAGGTGTTCCAATCCCCTCCATATCATGAGATTCAGGTATTCCAATCCCCTCCATATCATGTGATTCAGGTGTTCCAATCCCTCCATATCATGAGATTAGGTATTCCAATCCCTCCATATCATGTGATTCAGGTATTCCAATCCCCTCCATATCATGTGATTCAGGTATTCCAATCCCCTCCATATCATGTGATTCAGGTATTCCAATCCCCTCCATCATGTTGATTCATATCATGTGATTCAGGTGTTCCAATCCCCTCCATATCATGTGATTCAGGTGTTCCAGTCCCCTTCCAATTATGTGATTCAGGTGCTCCAATCCCCTCCATGGACACAGGTGTATACAATCAAGCCCCTAGGCATGCAGACTGCTTCTACAAACATTGGTTAACCTCCCTGGCGGTATGATTATTTCCGATTTTTGGTACTGATAAAACTTGAAACACAAAATCATAAATTATAATTTAATTAATAATCATAAAAAATAATAATATAATAATAATAAATTTAAACTCAATAATATAATCAAACCAAAAACACTGAAATGTGAAATAGAGCGCCAAGTTTCGCACATCGCTGAGCTCAGTCGCAGAATCGTTTTCAGTGTTTGATGAGGAATTTCCCCCACCAATCATTATCACTCAATTCTGCAAGTGGTTCTGATTTACTATCGCTGTTCTCTAGCCGGTCTAAAACCGCGTCTGACCTAAAGGGACGCTTTTTGGACGCCATGGACGCTTTCTCAGTTTCCAGGCAGAAAGAACAGTAATAATGCAGGCAGGGCGCCGGACAAAGCACTCGGGACAAAATGTATGTGAAAATGCATTGAAACAGCAATGTTTTACTAGCATAAAATAATTTTTTTTAAAAATGACATTTTTAAAAATTTCACATTGCCGCCGTTCCGGCGCCTGTACGTCCCCTGACGTCACAGGGACCGGAACACAGAAGCCGGATGCCGGCATAGGCCGGAGGAGATGGCCGGGGACGCTGCAGGGACACATCGCGGGTCGCGGGAGCGAAGGACAAGGTAAGTGCTGCAGGGACTCCCTGAGCAACGCCGCATTAGTAAGCCGAGTGTAGCTCAGGGGGGGGGGGGGGGTTACCGCTCTTGGTACTGAAATTTTTTACCCCGAGCTACACTCGGGAATACCGCTAAGGAGGTTAAGAATGGGTCGCTCTCAGGAGCTCAGTGACTCCAAGCGTTGGTCCCGTGATAGGTGGCCACCTGGGCAATAAGAGTCCATCCGTGACATTTCCTGGCTACTAAATATTCCCTCACTCAACTGTTAGTGGGATTATAACAAAGTGGAAGCAACTGGGAACAACAGCCACTCAGCCCATTCAAGTGGTAGGCCACGTCACATGACAGGGCGGGGTCAGCGCATGCTGAAGGGCACAGTGCGCAGAAGTCACCAACTGTCTGCAGAGTCAATAGCTAAAGACCTCCAAACTTGGTGTGGCCTTCAGATGAGCCCAACAACAGTGCGTAGAGAGCTTCATGGAATGGGTTTCCATGGCCGAGCAGCTGCATCCAAGCCTTCCATCACCAAGTGCAATGCAAAGCATCAGATGTAGTGGTGTAAAGCACGCCGCCACTAGACTCTAGAGCAGTGGAGACGTGTTCTCTGGAGGGACCAATCACGCTTCTCTGTCTGGCAATCTGATGGACATGTCTGGGTTTGGTGGTTGCCAGGAGAAACGGTACTTGCCTTGACTGCATTGTGCCAAGTGTAAAGTTTGGTATTGGAGGGGGGATTATGGTGCGCGGGTTGTTCTTCAGGGATTGGGCTTTTGGCCCCCTAGTTCCAGTGAACAGGGAGCTCTTTAGGCATCAGCATAACAAGACATTTTGGACAATTTGCATGCTCCCAACTTTGTGGGAAGAGTTTGGGGATGGCCCCTTCCTGTTCCAACATGACTGCCCACCAGTGCACCAAAGCAAGGTCCATAAAGACATGGAGGAGCCTGTTTGGTGTGGAGGAACTTGACTGGCCTGCACAGAGTCCTGACCTCAACCCCATAGAAACACCTTTGGGATGAAATTACAGCGGAGACTGCGAGCCAGGCCTCCTCCCCCGACATCAGTGCCTGACCTGACAAATGTGCTTCTGGAAGAATGGTCCCAACCTTCCCATAAGACACCCTCCTAAACCTTGTGGACGGCCTTCCCAGAAGAGTTAGAAGCTGTTATAGCTACAAAGGGTGAGGCCAACTCCAATATTGAACCCTAATGGACTAAGAACTGGGAGGGGCCATGTTAAGGTCATTGTGCCAGGGGAAAGGGGCGGGGCCAAACTCAATATTGAACCCTACGGATTACAGACCTGGGGGGCCATTAAAGGTCATGTGTGTGGAAAAGGGCGGGGCACAACTCAATATTGAACCCTACGGACTAAGACTGGGGGGCCATTAAACAGGTCATGTGCGTGTAAAGGCCGGCGGCCCAATACTTTTGGCAATCTAGTGTACAGTACATGCAGTTACAGATAGAGGATGGGGTCATGGCATTACCTGAGAGGCATCATACACTTTAATTCTGATTAAAGCTTTCTGGAGATATTCACAGGGATATTCACTTTACTTTTCCCCTTAGCTTTATGAACGAGGTGAGACGCTTCTGCTGATCTTCCAAAGCATCACAGATCATCTGCACTCACACAAAATGTTTTTATATTTACTTTGCATGTGAGATTTAGATATTCTTAAGTGTTTTTTTTTAACCGTTTTCACTAAGCTAACGGAAAAATTCCATCCCTAAGCCCGCTAACAGCCCATTTTGCTGCGCGCTGGGACAATCAACTCTCCCAAAAAAGGTTTTCTAGACTTTTAAATTCATGTTCAGCTATTATACATCTGAACTACAATAACAATGCTAATGTGGTTCTAAAGGATGAAGGCAAAAAACCTTCAGGATACAGCTGAGCTGCGAGGTCCGGGGGAGAGTAAGCGGGTATAGTGACATGGGGTGGTGTCCGGGGAGAAGCCCGATTATAGTGACATCCTGGCGGGGTCGGGGAGAGCGGGATATAGTGAATGCGGGTCCGGGGAGAGGGATATAGTGAATTGTAGGTGTTCCGGGGAGAGCGGATATGTAATGTGGGGGTCTGTGGTGTGGGGAGAAGCGGATACAGTGGAATGCTGTGGGTCCGTGGGAGAGCGGATCAGTTGAATGTGGGTTCGGGGGAGAGGGATATAGTGAATGCGGGGTCTGGGGAGAGCTGGATACGTGGGAATGCGGGGGTCCGGGGAGAGCGGATTTTAGTGTATTCGGGGTCCGGGTGAGTGTGGAGCGCGGATATAGTGAATGCGGGGTCGGGGAGAGCGTATATAGTGAATGCGGGGTTCAATGCGGGTCCGGGGAGAGCGGATATAGTGAATGCAGGAGTCCGGGGGGAGAGCGGATATGTGAATGTGGGGGTTTGGGGGGAGAGATCAGTGAATGGGAGTCCGGGGAAAGGATTTTGTGAAGCGGGTCCGGGTAGAGCGGATATAGTTTAATGCGGGGTCCGGGGAGAGCGGATACAGTGAATGCGGGGGTCCGGGAGAGCGGATATAGTGAATGCGGGTCCGGGGAGAGCGGATCATGTGAATGCAGGGTTTCCCGGGAGAGCAGATATAGTGAATGCGGGGTCCGGGGAGAGCGGATATAGTGAAGCGGGGTCGGGGAGAGGGATATAGTGAAATGCGGGGTCCGGGGAGAGCGTATAAGTGAATGCGGGTTCCGGGAGAGCGGATATAGTGGGAAAGCGGGGGCCCGGGGGGAGCGGATAAGTGAATGCGGGGTCCCGGGAAGGATAAAAATGAATGCAGAGTCCCGGGGAGGAGCGGAATGTGAATTTCGGGGT